ATGGACTGCCAAGAAAACAAACAGATTCATCCTAGAGAGGGTTAAACCAGGCTGCTCCTTGGAGGCAAGGATTCTGGGGCTTCACCTGACATACTTTGGACATGTTGTAAGGAGAGACAGGTCTTTAGAGAGGGACATCATGCTGGGTAGAGTAGAGGGACAGCACAGGAGGGGAATATCCTCTATATGAGGTGCATTGATTCACTGACTGGGGTAATCAGGATGGGTGTGTAAGAGGCAATGAGATGGGCACAGGATAGAGCACGGTTTAGGGCTCCTGTGCATCGGGTCGCTATGAATCGCAAATGACTCGACGGCACATAACAACAACAACAACAGCATCCATGAATAGGGCTGTTGGATTCTATTGGCTAGGGTTTTATTAAAGATTTTTGCATCTCTGCTCATGAGAGAGAATTGGTCTGTAGTTCTCTTTTTTAGTAATATCTTTGCCTGCCTTTAGTATTAGGATTATGCTTGCATTATAGAAAGTCTCTGGGAGTGTTCCTTCTTTTTATGTTTGTTTTTTTTTTAAATCATTTAAATAGAATTGGTGATCGATCTTCTCTGAATGTTTGGTAGAATTCAGCCATGAAGCCATTTGGTGCAGGATTTTTTTTGTTGGGGAGTCTTCCTATGACCTGCTCATTTTTTACTTTTGTGATGAGTCAGTTCAAGTGTTCCACCTCTATCCATCTCATTCTGGGCACGGGATGTGTTTCAAGAAATGTGTCCATTTCCTCTGGGTTTTCAGATTTACCACAATATAGCTTTCAAAGGGAGCACTGGTGGCCTTCTGGCAAGAACCAGCTCTGCAAACCCAATGGCATGTGGTTAGAACCCACCAGCTGCTCCACAAGAGAAGCATGTGCCGTCTTTCCCCTGTCACAAACTGCTTCTGAAAACTTGGCAGAGTCAGCAATGGATCAGTTCTGACTTGATGGTACACAACAATTCCTTTTTCATAATGTTCTGTTATTATAGATTCAATTTCCTCTAGTTCTGTTGTGATGTCACCTCTACCATTCCTTAGAGTTATTTGTGTCTTCTTTTCTCTTTCATTAAGATTGCCAATGGTTTGACATTTTTCTTGACCCTTTTCAAAAACAAAATACACTTGGTTTTGCTGACAGTTTCATTTTTTTTTCTGTTTTCTATCTCACTGATATCTGCTCTTGTTCTTATAATTTCCTTTATTCTAGAAGACTGTGGAGTTAAGATTATTGTTCTTTTTTTGCTTGATGAAGATGTTAAATCATTCATTTTATTTCTTTCTTCCATTTTGTTATGTGTTTGCCTATTATTGCTATAAACTGTCCCCTGAGGACTACCTTATCTCAGTCCCAGAGGTTTTAATATGTTGAATTTTCATTGTCATTTGTTTTGAGAAACTTTTTTAAGTTCATTTTTTATTTCTTCTGTAATCCACTTGTGTTCTAGCAGGGTGTTATTTAGCTTCTACATTAGAGATTTTATAAGCTTTATCCTCTTGTGACTAATTTCTCATTTTATGATATTGTGGTCTGAGAAGATAATTTGTATTATTTCAGTGTGTTTTAATTGTTGAGGTATACTTTGTGCCCTCATTTGTGATCAGTTCTGGAAAATGTACCCTGTGCACTTGAGAAGAAAGTGAATTGAGTTTTAGTGGGGTGCAGTACTCAGAATAAATCCACAAGGTTGAGTTGCCTGAATGTATATTTTAGGTCTTCTGCATCTTTGATAAATTTCTTTAGAGCTGACCTATCCTTTGGTGAGAGTGGTGTGTTAAAGTCTCCTACCACTATTGTGGTGCTTTCTTTCTTCAGTTCCGTTAACCCTTGTGTAGGTGTTTTGCAGGTCTATAATTTTTTGTATAGATGTTGACCAAGATTATGTCTTTTATCTACTGTGCCTTTAATCATTCTATAGTGCATTTCCTTATCTTTTCTGGTGTTTCCATACTGAAGTCTATTTTATCAGAGGTTAGTATTGACACTCTTGGTTTTTTGTGGATGCCAATCACTTTTAATATTTGTTTTCCAGCCTTTGATACTCCAAGTCAGTGTTTCTCTTTGTTTCTTAGATGTGTCTCTTATAGACAACATATTGATAGGCTTTGGTTTTATAATCCATTCTGCTACTCTTTTTCTCTCTCTTTTTTTTCATTCGTATTAAATGTGATTATTGACAGGCCAGGTTTTATCATTGTAATTTTGCTACGTTTCTCTTTTTTGTTTTTCTGCATGAAGGACTTAGCTTAAAAGTTCTTACTGATTTTTATCTTATTTTCACAAATTGTTTTCTTCTCTGCAAAGCATCTAATTTCTCCTTCATATTTGATGGAGAGCTATGCTGGGTACAGATCGATTGGCAATTGTTTTCTTTCCTCTTTTCTGTTAAATCACCCTATTGTTTTCTTGCTCATGTGGTTTATGGTTTCTACTAAAATCCAGAGGTTAACTTAATTGATTTTCCTTTGTGGTGAATCTGTTTTTCTGATTTTGCTTTTATCATTCTATCTTTATTTTTAGTTTTTTTTACCTTGTCTTGATATTTTTCTTTTTTGTGTCCAGTCTATTTGGTGTTCACTTGAATATTAATTTTTTTTTGTTCTTCATAATACCTGGGGCGTTTTCTTCTATTACCTCTTCCACTATTTTCTTCATGATTTCCCTGTCCCTGTCATGTTCTGGAATTCGAATCATACAAATGTTGCTCCTTTTGAGTTATCGCACATGATTCTAATGTTTTCATAATTTTATTTTCTTTTTCTCATATCTTTAGTATGTTTCCAATAAGATTCTTGTATTCCAGCTCACTGATGCTCTGCTCCATCTTTTCTGTTCTACTTTTATGTCACTTCAGCATGTTGGACACCTCTGCCATTTCTTTCTTAATATTCTAGATTTTATTTTCATAAGTTTCTGTTATTTTCAGTCTGTTTTGGCTGTACCCGCTCTGTCTTGTGATGACATTTTTTAAGTTCTTGTACCATTTTATCTATACTTTCCATTCTTTCTTCTGCCTTTTGCATTTTCTTGTGTAGCTGTGCAAATTCCTCCTTATTGATACATTTCTTCTGGCTCCCTCTCTCTGTAGTATTTACTTTATTAATAGCTTTCATTGTTTCTTCCATCATTTGCACCTTCTTCTATTACTGTTTGAATAACTCTGCATCAATATATTTCTTCTCCTCTTACTCTTTATTTGTGCCTTCCATTGTTTTTTCTATCATTTGTACTTTCTTTATAGCTGTTCTCATGCATCCAACATCTTCTTGACCCTGGGGTATTCATTGAGTCTGCACTATTTTCTGCTTTATTTGGAAAAGGCTTAATTTTATAGAAGGTAAACAAATAGAGAAAACTGTTAACGAGATGGATTGTTAGTTACTGCCACTATGGACTTTTGAGTATGGCAAGAGATGGTGCAGGATAGGGCAAGTTTCAGAGCTGTTGTTCATGGTGTTGCTGAGAGTTTTAATTGACTCAGTGGCACTAACAGCAACAACAATCATTGTCTTTTAAGTCAAATACCTTCTAAATTATGAAAGATCGACTGTCACACATAAATTTGAAAAGAACTAAAATGTTGAATGATAAAAATCTACCACTTGTGTCCTTAGTACTGAGTTTCAGTCACTCAGGACAAGCCTATCAGATGTGTTTCATCAATTTATCCATGGCTAAGGAAAGACTAAAGAATTTAGTCAGAGTTAAATAGGACAGATCACCTACGTCTCTAATAGTAGTAAGCATTAGGAGAAATAACACTGAGGGAGCTCAGTAGAGAAAACATTAGTGTGGTTATTATTAGTATTTAATTCTGAAAAATTTTTAGTAGTCAATTTTTTTCATGTCATATATTACAATTTCTTTACATAGTGGCCAGTTTTGAATTATGTTTAAAATATGTATAACTTTTTTATAAATTTAGGGGAACATTGGAACATCCCCTCCCAGGTTCAGCTCACATGCATTGTTTGTTGCCCACTTGCGTTTAAATATTTTATTTGGTGGTAAGAAGTGGGCTACTGGAGAACTTAGAATTGCAGAAGGAACTTTCCTGGAAAATTATCATACCTTTATTGTTCACAGGTCCCCAAGACAGCAGCAAAATGGGAATTCTCTATATATTGGTTCCGAGCATTGCAATACCCTTGGTTATTGCTTGCCTTTTCTTCTTGGTCTGCATGTGCCGGAATAAGCAGAAGTCTTCAGCATCCACACCACAGCGAAGACAACTGATGGCATCGCCCAGCCAAGATATGGAAATGCCTCTCATTAGCCAGCATAAACAGGTGATTGGTTATATCTTAGTGCCCTTGTATTGCCATACAGAAATATTAAAAGAAAATGGCTTGAACAAATAGTAATATCTTCTCTTATAATTTTGGAGGCTAGAAATCCAAATTCAAGGCACCAGATCTAGAGGAAGCCTATACTTTCTTGGTTCAGGAGAGATGCCTTTGTTGCCTTGAGCACCCTCAGGCTTAGCTCTCTCTTGGAGGTCTCTAGTGTCCTGACTTTAACCATCATCAAGGAACTTCCTGGTACAAGGCTTGGGTCCAGAAGAATGCAGTCCATTGCCAAAATTTATTTCTTGGTAGTGTTGAGGTGCCCCATCTCTGCTAACTCTCCTCCCCTCTTTTCTTTCTGGTGAGAAAAAAATTTTACAGACCACACCCTAGGGAAGCTGCCCTTACAACTGTCACAGCTGAAATGCCATTCAAGGATGTTACATTCCACCTTAAATCTTTTTGCAACTATATATGTTTATCAGAAAATTACATTATTTCTATATTATATCTTTATACGGTCATATGGAGGTTAGTGCTGCCAAAAAGACACCTAAAAAATAGAGAGTTTACTCAAGAAGGAGTTGTGAGAAAAATCCATCAAGGAAATATTTGTAAAACAAGAGACTAGGAATCTCTTGACAGAAAATGTTCAGAGAAATGCACTGAAGAGCTCACGAAAGGATACTCCTTCTCATGGTGTGAGCAGGGATTATTGGACCTTGTTTGTGGGTGATATGAGGAAACTGGAAAAAAGACAGAACTAGGAGATTTCAGGGTGACTCTGGAGGGGTAGTAGTCAGACTTGCCTGTGAATGTGTGTGTGAGAAAGAGTGCATATCTATGCACACACACAGACATACACACACAGTCGTGAATGAAGTGAGTGGTAGCTTGGCTGTATTTTGCAGGGATATATTTTGTTGCATACTTTGGGCATGTTGCACTCAGGGACCAATCCTTGGAGAGGGACATTATGTTTGGAAGGGTGGAGGGACAGAGCAAGAGAGGAGGACCCTGGATGAGATGGATTGACTCAGTGAGGGGTGGGGGAGTAGGTGTGTCAGGGACAGTAAGTTGGCTCAAGATAGAGCAAGGTTCAGACCTGTTGTACACAGAGTCCCTGTGGGTCAGAGTCAACTTAGTGGCATATAAGAACAAAAACAACATATTTTGATGCATGCATGGTTAAGGCCCATTGAAGGATTCAAACAGGAGGAACCAGATTTAAGATGAGTTGACGAGTGTGTAAAGAGCAGGTGAAGCCTGGAAAAGAAATGTGTTTGGATCCTCTTTGGAATTTGGGTTGAGAAGTTACCTGGTTGTGCTAGTTATGCCGCTGCATTTGGCCTTGCTAGGCTGCTCCCCCACAGCTGATGTTGCAGTGATGTAAATGATTCACTGAGTTTTTTCCTTCTTTCCAGGCCAAGCTCAAAGAGATCAGTCTATCCTCAATGCGGTTCATGGAAGAGCTAGGGGAGGACCGATTCGGGAAGGTCTACAAAGGCCACCTCTTTGGCTCTACACCAGGGGAGCAGATTCAGGCTGTGGCCATCAAAACACTTAAGGATAAAGCCGAGATGACCCTTCGGGAAGAATTTAAGCATGAAGCTATGATGCGTTCAAGACTCCAGCACCCCAACATCGTCTGTCTTCTCGGAGTGGTGACCAAAGACCAGCCCATTAGTATGGTTTTCAGCTACTGTGTCCATGGTGATCTACATGAGTTTCTAGTGATGCGCTCACCACACTCAGATGTGGGCAGCACTGAAAATGACCACATTCTGAAGCCTGCTCTGGAGCCCCCTGACCTTGTCCATGTTGTTGCCCAGATTGCTGCAGGAATGGAATATCTGTCTAGCCACCACGTGGTACACAAGGACCTCGCCACTAGAAATGTTCTTATGTTTGATAAACTGACAGTGAAGATCTCAGACCTAGGCCTTTTCCGAGAAGTATACTCAGCTGATTACTATAAACTGATAGGGAATTCATTCCTGCCCATCCGCTGGATGTCCCCAGAAGCCATCATGTATGGCAAGTTCTCCATTGACTCTGATATCTGGTCCTATGGTGTGGTCTTGTGGGAGATCTTCAGCTACGGCCTACAGCCTTATTGCGGCTACTCTAACCAGGATGTGGTAGAGATGATACGAAACCGTCAGGTGCTGCCCTGCCCAGATGACTGTCCCTCCTGGGTGTATGCCTTAATGATTGAGTGCTGGAATGAGTTCCCTAACCGGAGGCCCCGATTCAAAGATATCCACAGCAGGCTCAGAACCTGGGGGAACATCTCCAATTACAACAGCTCTGCACAAACCTCAGGGGCCAGCAACACCACCCAGACCAGCTCCCTCAGCACCAGTCCTGTAAGCAATGTGAGCAATGCTCGCTATGTGGGACCCAAGCAGAAGTCCCAGGCCTTCCCACAGCCCCAGTTCATCTCCATGAAGGGTCAGATCAGACCACTGGTGCCCCCACCCCAGCTCTATATCCCTGTCAATGGCTATCAGCCAGTGCCAGCCTATGGAGCTTACCTGCCCAACTTCTATCCTGTTCAAATCCCAATGCAAGTGCCTCCTCAGCAAGTGCCTCCCCAGATGGTACCCAAGCCAGGCTCCCATCACAGTGGCAGTGGCTCCACCAGCACAGGCTATGTCACTACAGCACCCTCCAACACGTCTGTGACTGATAGGGCAGCCCTTCTATCTGAGAGCACAGAGGATGCTCAGAACACTCCAGAGGATGCAGCTCAGAATCCTGTGCCAGAAGTAGAGGATGAAGAGGAAGGCTCTGTCCCAGAGACAGAGCTTCTGGGAGACAATGACACCCTTCAACTGGAAGAGACCGAGGCACAGCTGGAGGCCTAAAGGGGATCCAGGACATTGGGGGCGGGGGGGAAGAGAAGCCTCTCAGAAATGCCCTGTGGACCTTTCAAAATGCCATCTCTTCAAAAAAGCATAAAACACAATATTTATGTGAACACGAAGTGCTGGCTGACCTTTCAGTGGACCTGGTGGTAGGAGATAAAACTTTGCTTTTGTCACGAGTGTGTAAGAGGCTGCTGTCCCTGCCTCATGCTTGTTGGTGGATAGTTCAGCCAGTGATGCCAGGTCGAGTGGGCCAGGCAACCAAGCATCATGCCACATAATAGAGTCACCTCCATACAGCCTTTGTGGCTTCAGTCCATATTGCAGATAGTTTTGTGAAACAAATGAACTTCTAAGTGGAGTTCCCTTGGTTTGAGAAACAAATGTGCTTTTTAGAAAACCAATACAATTTTGTATGTTCCTGAAATTATTTCAATTTTACTGCATTTGTATTTTGCCCATTTTTCTGGAATTCAGGGGAAAATTCTTGAATTGTTAATGTTAAAAAGAAGCAGTATTGTTCAGAATACAATATTGTTATTCGGGTACTTTATGCTGTTTTGGTTTTTTTGGCAGTTTTTAAAAGAATCATGTACAGACCCTAAATGTAATTTATATGTTTGTTTGGGGTTTTTGGTTTTGTATGCCATTTTTTGGAATTATTTTGGTCTTAAACTAATTACTTGGAATTTAACTGTTTAAGCTGTCCACTTTGGGGTGCTGTTTCCTTGTGTTTTGATTTGCTTGTTTTTTATCATATATAAACAAAGTCCATGCATTTCAGAACTTCTGCTAGAGAAAGACCCACAAGTACTCCATCTATGCCCAGGATGTGTATAGATGTCATTTGTAAAACCTACAATAAACTTCCTAATAAAGTGAAACATTTGGTTGCATCTTTTTGGATTGTCCCAAATTTTGTGTATATCATCCCATTGCCATCTTTGCATCCTGGCTTCTACAAAAAAATCAGAATTTAATCTTACTAGTTCTCCCTTATAGGTGACTCTTTTTTCCCCCCAAGCTGCTTTTGGTATTCTTTCTCTGCCTTCATTTTGGAAAATTTTATTATGATATGTCTTGCTTATTTTCATTTTGTGTCTATCCTATTTGAGATTTGCTCTCCTTCTTGAATATATAGTTGCCAATTTTTCATAAAATAGGAAATTTTCAAGCAACACATCTTCAGTGATTTCTTCTGTGCTTTTTTTGGGGGGATCATTTCCTCTTCTGCGAATTCTATCACAATTAATTTATCTTTCTAGATGCTCCTCATAATTCTTGGGCTTTATTACTTTTCTTCCTTTTCCTGATTATTTCTCTAATAGACAAGTGTTGAAAGATTTATCCTTAAATCCACTAATTCTATGTTCCATGTTTTTAGGTCTACTTATTTGTCCTTCTAATGTGTGGTCTATTTCTGCAATTTTAGTCTTAATACTCTGAACTTTACTTTGCTGTTTTATATTGCTTCTAATTTTCCATTTTATTCCTTTGGTATTGCATAATTGTTTTGACTTTTTGTGGTTTTTTTTTACAATATTCTGTATTTTCTGTGTTTTCTCAATCTATAGAAGACATTTAAGTAAAATTCTCTTGAACTCCTTATCAGGAAGCCTCAATAGCCTTTCTTCCTTTGACAGATTTTCCTGAAGTGTGTTTTGGTTTCTCTCTCTCTCTCTTTTTTTTTTTTTTTGTTCAATGGCATCCTGGTTTTTGTTGTTTTATTGTTTTGTTGTTTTCTTTTACTATTTTGTGGTTATCTGTTTAAATTTCTTGATGTCCCACATAATTGCAGAGATGTCCTAGACATTGTAGTTTTGTTGTTTGTGGATGGGAACAAGATGTCTGGCCTGGAAATGTCATTTGAGAGGCAGAGCACCATTCTGTGACAGAGATTCTAATGGCCTCTGAAGAGCCTTTAATACTCTGCCTGGCTAGGGATTGTGGTTTTTTTCCAGTTCAAATCCTGTCGTCGTTCTTTAAAGAGATGGAAAAAGTAATCAACTTTATGTGCAAGAGAAAGAAACCTCAGATAAGCAAAGCTCTACTAAAGAAGAAAAGCAAAGTAGGAGGCCTTACATTTTCTGCTCTCAAACCTACTAACTACATTGCCATAGTAATCAAAATAGCTTGGCACAGGACAACAACAGACACATAGACCAATGAAATGGAATTTAAAAAGAAGAAATAAATTTATTCATTTATGTCATCTTTGACAAAGAGATGAACTCCATTAAGGGGAAAAGACAACCTCTTTAGCAAATGACACTGACCAAACTGGCTGTGTTTGCAGAAAATTGAACCAAAATCCATACCTCATGCTGTGCAAATTTTTAAACAGAAAATTAATGCCAATTTAGTACCCCTAATCTATGACACAAATAGACTATGAAATATAAATTAAAATAATCAACACAGGAAAAACTAAACAGTTGGAACCCTTGAAAGTTAATTCTATGTTTATTAAAAAATATCTCCAAAAGAGTAGAAAAAGAACCTATAACTGGAAAATAATATTTAACAATATGTCTGCCATAGGGCTCATCTCTATAGAAAACTTCAACACCTCAACAAGAAAAGATAAATCAATTATAAAATCAGCAGAAAACTCATGTTCACTCAAAGGTAGTTAACCTGAGAAGACATTCAGATGGCCAACAATCTAAGGAAGAACTCTCTGGATTATTGTCTGTACTCTTACTCTCCTCATGAAGTCAGAACTGCTTCATAGTTGACCCTCCTTTGTGTTTTCTGAGGTTGTAAATTACACAGGAGGAGGTTCCCTGTCTTTCTTCGGAGGAACCATTGGTAGATTCCAATCTCTAAGTAGCAACCACTTTGGCCAGCAATGAGGAGAATTGTGGCATCAGGATTGGTGGAAGATCTGTTAACAATCTGCATTATGCAGATGACACAACCCTGCTTGCTGAAACTGAGGAGGACCTCATGCACTTGCTGCGAAGGGTCAAGGACTGCAGCCTTCAGTATGGACTAAGGCTCAATGTCAAGAAGACAAAGATTCTCACCACTGGACCAAATTGGCAGCGTCAGGTTGGATAACAAAGAGATTGAGAGTGTTCACAGCTTCAGTTTGCTCGGCTCCACAGTGAACACTCTTGGTAGCAGCAGTCAGGAAATAAAAAAGCGTATCGCGATGGGAAAGTCTGCTGTTAGGGACCTCTCAAAGGTACTCAGGAGCAACAGTGTCTCTCTGGAGACTAAGGTGCGCCTGATACAGGCCATGGTCTTTACAATCACTTGTTATGCATCAGAGAGTTGGACAGTGACTAGGGAGGACAGAAGGAGAGTGGATGCTTTTGAGCTGTGGTGCTGGAGAAGGGTACTGAATGTGCCATGGACTGCCAGGAAAACAAACAGATCCATCTTGGAGAGGATTAAACCAAGCTGCTACTTGGAGGCAAGGATTCTGGGGCTTCGTCTGACATACTTTGGACATGTTGCCAGGAGGGACGGGTCCTTGGAGAGGGACATCATGCTTGGGAGGGTGGAGGGACAGCGCAGGAGGGGAAGACCCTCTATGAGATGGATTGATTCAGTGACTGGGGTAATAGGGATGGGTGTGTCAGAGGCGGTGCAGTTGGCACAGGATAGAGCAGGGTTTAGGGCTGTTGTGCATAGGGTCGCTATGAGTCAGAACGACTCGACGGCACATAACAACAACAACAACAACTCCGTATGGACTATGCCACTAGACTTGCAATGAAAGCTATTATTGTTATGAGATACTGAGTTGAAATCAACTCATAACTGACCTTCCATCATGTTTTCAGAAGCTATAAATAGCAGGGGGTGAGAAGCCCCTCTTTCTTTTTTAGAGAAGCTGGTGGATTAAAACCACATGTTTTTGGGTTGATAGCACAACTCCTTACCGGTAGGCCACCAGAACTCCCTACCATCAGCTATTGTTGTTAGATGCCATCAAGTTGAGCATGATGCATAATAACCCTCTGGTAACAACAGATCTAAACCTTGTCCTGTCCTGTCCTCATCTACGCTGACATAATTGAGCTCACTGCTGTAACTTCTAAATCAATCAATCTCACTGAGGATCTTCCTGTCCTTCATTGACTTAGCAGCTTCCCAAGCATAATGTCCCTTTCCAAGGAATAACTCTTCCTAACAACATGTCTAAAGTATGTGATATGAAGCTTCACCATACTTGCCTCCAAGGAAAAATGTGGTGGCACCTTCTCCAAGACACATCTGTTTTTTCTTTTGTCAACCCATAAGATATTCATATGTCCAACATCACAACTCAAGGACATCAGTTCGTCTGTCATCATTATTCATCATCTAGTTCTCAGATGCACAGCAAGTGACTAAGAAAACATCCAGCACACTTTAGTCTTTAAACTGCCATCATTACTCCTTTAGTATTTTGGAGAAGTCCATGATAGCAGACTTTCCCAATGCAACAAATTATTTTTTTAATGAATTTTAATGAAAGTTTACAGAGACTTAGGGTTTCCATTCATTCATTGTGGCACTTTTCTCCCTCCCCATCTTCCCCCCCCCGCCCCAGTTCACTCTTTGAAAAGTAAAAGAAAAATTCTTTCATTGTTATACAATCCCTCCCCCAAGTCCATCCCACTGTGCAACCTTCATTTTTAACTCCTTTCATGACAATAATGCCTAATCATATGTCCCTTTTAAACAGTTCTCTCCTTCATGTGTTTCAATGCAGTATACATTATTTTTCCCCTTTTTCTCAGTCTTCCCTCAACCCCAATGTTAGTCCAGTTTTACAACAGTAGCCCTATGCAATATTTGTCCTTTTGTGACTGAGATATTTCACTCAGCATATTGTCCTTCAGGGTCACCCGTTTTGTATAATATTTCATGATGAGTTCCTTGTTTTTCAGTGCTACATAGCAGCCCATTGTGTGAATATACCACAGCTTCTCTGTCCATTTATTTGTTGATGGGCACTTGGGTTGTTTCCAACTCTTTGCCATTGTGAACAAAGCCACAATAAA